AATAACCTGTCTATTAAGAGAGAATTAAGCACGTTTCACAGATGAAAAGAGCCTGCTAGACCAGGCTGATAGCCTATCTAGTCCAGCATTCTGTTCTTACAGTGACCACCTAGATGTCTATGGGAAACCCTCAAGTAGGAATCAAGCATCTTCCTCTCCTGTGGTGTCAAACAGTCGGTATTCAGAAGTGTTACTGCATCTGACCATGGCCTTGGGGAATGTGGATATATATGTGGAATTTTGTCCAGTCTCTGGTTATTATGCATAATCTCCAGCAGGCCCTGCACAACATGCACAACATGCAGATCCTGACTGCATGCTGTACATTCTCAAGCCATTATGGAACCATTCAATTGATGAGCTAGTCAAGAACTTGAGATGTTCAGGCTGTCAGAGGTTAGGAAAAAGAATGCAACTTTAGGGAGATTTCTGGAAGCTAATAATAATAATAATTTTTTTTTCATACCCCGCCCATCTGGCTGGGTTTCCCCAGCCACTCTGGGTGGCTTCCAACAAAATATAAAAAATACCATAAAACATCAAACATTAAAGACTTCCCTAAGCAGGGCTGCCTTCAGATGTCTTCTAAAAGTCAGATAGTTGTTTATTTCCTTGACACCTGACAGGAAGGCATTCCACAGGGCAAGCACCACTACCGAGAAGGCCCTCTGCCTGGTTCCCTGTTACTTCACTTCCTGCAGTGAGGGAACCACCAGAAGGCCCTTGGAGCTGGATCTCAGTGTCCGGGCTGAACGAAGGGGTTGGAGACGCTCCTTCAGGTCTCCAATGATGCCAGTAAACCAGTTGGTCATGTGAAACTCTTTTGATGCCCTTTAAAAAAAATTCCACGTCAGGCCTGCTCACTAATGTGAACAATTAGGACATTGGCTCTGTGAGCTTTATGTCACTTTAGTCCCTAGTTGACTCCCCTTGCCCTCCGTTGCACACAAGTCGGAACAAAGCTGTAAAAATATTTGTACTCCAAAGTCCGTGAGGGAAGGCAACATTGTCAGTTTGGCTGAGCAGAAGTTTTGTGGGCATGGGAAGTTTTGTCGGAAGGAGAAGTTTTGTGGAACAGATGTGGACGGGGAAGAGGACCTAGGAGGTAGGGAAGTCAAAGGGCAGGGAGTCCAGAGGGTCCTAGATCAGCTCACCTAGAAGTCCTTTCCCTCATTTTGAAAACTACCCTAAAGAAAGGCGCAGTTTATTTGAATGCATGTATATAGATAGCTAGATAGAGAGTTTGGCATTCGCATTATGGAGAAGGGCCACAGTTCAGCACTAGAGATTCCACTTTGAAAGCAGAAAACCCCAGGTTCAAACCCTGGCATCTCCAGGTAGGGCTGAAAAAGATTCCAGCAGTACTGGAGTACTGCTGTCAGTCAGCGTAGACAATACTGACCTAGATGGACCAATGGTATGAGTCAATATAAGGCAGCTTCCTATGCTGTTTTAAAATTTTATTTCTGGACTTCATTCAGATTGCTGGACATGTGCGTTCTCAGTCCCTTGTGTGTGTTCAGTCTAAGGGCTCATCCACACATCAGCTTGTTGCCCTCTGCTTTCCAAGGAAAAATCTGCTCTTTAGTGATAGATTGGAATAAATGGCAACCCGGGTGAAACTGGATTGAACACTAAAGAGCAGTTATCCCCAGGGAAAAGCAGTGGGACCAGAGGAAGTGTGGATTAGCCTTCAGTTACCAATGAAGTACAGTGCAAAAGGAATTGCATCCACATTCCTTTTTGCACTCTAATTTATCTGCACGCACTAGAAGCAACAGGGTGGGGCTGAGGAGTGAGAGAGAGATATATAACCAATGAACAGCAGGACACTTTAAACCTTCAGGAAACTGTCCATGTGCCAATTCCAGACGTACTTTTGGAAAATCTCAGTAATAAACCCAAAGGAAAGAGGAGCATGACATTTTCAGCTGACTCCTCCACAGCAATAATGGGATGCAATATGCCGGGGAATCTGTTCACCCCAAATGATCTCTACCCATTCCTCCAACTCACTTTGTTTCTAGACAGACAGCAACCCATTTTGCTTTAAAACGTTCTGACTAGTGTGAAGCTTGAGAACTGTTGCGACTGTACCCTAAAGCCAAAATAATACTCTGGTACAATCTGCCTGCATTGTTTATTTCAAAGTGTGTGGTGGTGGTGGCAGCAGCAGCAGCAGCAGCAGCAGCAGCAGCAGCAGAGGGAGAATCCTTTGGAGAATATTCACAGTTCAGTGGTGCTCAGGACAGTGGTGTTGCTGCATCTGTTTTCCTCCAATGGTTGGCTGCATTCTCCCGCCTGATACTAATACCAGTGACAATTTAGTAACATAACCACTGGCATGAAAAATCTGGCTTCTATAGGAACAGATGGTGGCCACTTTGGCAGGTTAATTTTAGGCTTCAGTAGATGTTCACTTAGTCAGCATGGCTTTAGTATCAGAGAAGGAATATGGAAAAACATGGGTAAGGGAAACGAGAAGAGGATATTGCAACAGATTATAAAATTGTAGAGTGTGAAGGGGCTAAGGCTGCAATCCTGTGCCTGCTGACTAGGGAATAATTCTGATGAAACACAGCGAGAGTTACTTCTGACGAAATATGCTTAGGATTGCACTCTGCAGCTTTCAAATATTTGAAGGATGTTCGGATAAGGATTCCCAGTTTTTCATCAACTACATTTAAATGTAGTTAGCATATTGAACCATGGGCATAGCCAGGCTTTGTGTTTGGGGGTGGCTTTATGTTGGGAGTGCAGAATCTCAGTTAGTTAAATATTTTTATTGATTTGCTTGATTTAGGGGGGGGGCAGCTGCCCCTACCCCACCCCCCTTAGCTGCCCATATATTGAACATACTGGGTTGACGGGTATATCTACATACTAGATTCACTCATTCTTTTTCCCAGGGACAAATAAGGAGGTTTCAAAAGGAGGATAATGTGATTTTCTGACAGCTTTCTCCAACATGGTACCCTTTGGGTGAAGAACAGTTTTCTTTCAGCATCAGCCAGCATGTTCAGGCATAAGGTGGGGAAGGCTGAATATGTATGTGGGAGAAAGGAAGGAAGTTTTATACTGATTCAGACCACTGTTCACCTAGGTCAGTATTATGCTGTCTCACAACCAGTGGCGGAGCTTCAAGCTCTGGCGTTGGGGGGGGGGCGGAGAGCAGGCGGAGGTGTGGCTGGCACGCTTCCTGGGGGCATGGCATGCTGCTTGCAGGGGCGTGGCGCACATCCTGGGGTGTGGTGCACTGCCCGCAGGGGCATGGCATGCATCCTGGGAGTGTGGCACGCTGCCCAAAGGGGCATGGCACGCGTCCTGGGGGCATGGCACGCTGCCTGAGGGTGTGGTGCCCAGCATGGGGGGGGGGCAGGTGCGATGGCACCCCACCGGGATCGTGCTGCCGGGGGTGGTACGCTCCCCCCGCACCCCTGTTCCTCCGCCAGTGCTCACAACAGTGATTTCAGACGGGGTGGATCCCATATCTAACTGGTGATTGAAGCTGGGACCTGATTTGCTTGCACAGGATGTAATGATGACTACCAACGTGGATGACTTTAAGGAGAATTAGATAAATTCGGAGCAGAGAAGGCTGTCAATATGCCTCTAAAAACCAGCTGATTGGAATCACAAGTTGGAAGAACACTGTTGCACTTAGGTCCCGCTTGCAGGTTTCCTATGGGCATCTGCTTGGCCTCTGTGAGAATAGGATGCTGGACTAGATAATCCTTTGGCTTGATCCTGCAGAGCTCTCCTTATGTTCTTATGCCAAGCAGGTACTCTACCAGTGAGCTAGGACCCTTCCCTAGAACCACCTGTGACGCAGTTGTGAAGGAAGCTAACTTATGCCACTCAGACTGTGTACACGTGGCATTTTATTCTAGAACAAATTGGAGACTCAGTATTTTCTTTTTCGATGTAGTCTACACACAATCTAGATATATTGCATAATTTTATTTATTTATTTGCTGAATTTCGCCTGAAAAGCAGTTCAAGAAACTGGTTTCATTTAAAAAACAAAACTTCTTGCAAACTGATTCTGCATTATGCTGCACTGTAATTTGAAAACAGATGTAGGATGTCCCGGCAAAGTGTGTGTGTGCACAAGAGTATATCCAATGACACTGGGTGGTTGTACACCAATACTACAAACCCCACTTCCTACTTCATTCACCTGGGAGATGTGCAGGGTGCAAAAGGCAAGGATAACTTAATCAAGGGGCGAGTTTTCAAACAAGTGACAAGTAGCCACACCCACCCTTGAAGATGGCAGGACCTAGAATCAATCTAGATTGAAAGCAGCATGTTAAGGAAAAACATCAATTATTTTGGACTGATAATAGTGTATACACAGCTTCAGTGTAGACACGAGCATCATGTGACCAAGTCAGCTTACCTGCACACCCATCATGTGAGTAGGGCTTGCTTATGATCAAGTGGCAGGAGTGGATGTGGGATAGAAAATGAGACCCTCCAAATAGGACACTGTCTCAATTTAGGAAGGAGTTCCAATCCTGGCTTCTAAACTGACTGAAGACTCCAGATAGCATGTGGGAGAGGAGAAGACACCAGTGTAGTAACAGGTTTCCCATTCTGAGGCTCGCTGGTTAAGAATTTGATGGTGTTTTTAAGTACCGTATTTTTTGCTCTATAAGACTCACTTTTTTCCTCCTAAAAAGTAAGGGGAAATGTGTGTGCGTCTTATGGGGCGAATGCAGGCTGCGCAGCTATCCCAGAAGCCAGAACAGCAAGAGGGATTGCTGCTTTCACTGCGTAGTGATCCCTCTTGCTGTTCTGGCTTCTGAGATTCAGAATATTTTTTTTCTTGTTTTCCTCCTCCAAAAACTAGGTGCGTCTTGTGGTCTGGTGCATCTTATAGAGCAAAAAATATTTGGAGGAAATGCCACACAATTCTACGTGTGTATTTCCTTCCACTCTTTGTACTGTTGTGAAACTTTGGAGGTCTTGGGGGCATTTGAACAAAATAGTCTTACCTGCTTTCCATCCAGCGTGTACAGCTTTTTGACGACTCCTGTTTCCAGCTTTATGGCTTCTGTGATATCGGTGAGAACTTGCTCAAAGGAATGTGCCGTCTTCTTATTCAGCAGCACACGGACAGCCTTCCTGGGTTTCACCCCACTCCGAATGATGGTCACCAGCTTGGGGCGCACGAAATCCTTGTTCTCCCTGGCCTGGCCACTGTTGCTACTGGCCAGGGACTGAGGCGCTTTCATGTTGGCGGAGGTTTTCACGTTGACAGACCAGTTGGGGTTGACATTCTTGGTATACTCCACTTTCTTAAAAAAGTTGTCAGATGAACATACGTAACTTTCCCCTTTTGAGAACGGAAAAGAGAGAAGGGGTTAGAAAACAACAGTGACAATATAGCAATGGGGTATTTCAAATAAAATTAGAGCCAGAGGAAGAGAAGTTCCTCCTGCAATCACATTTCTTAAACACAGATGGATTTCTAAAACAGTGGGAAGTGCCCACTGGGCATTATCCATTTATCAACCTTCCTGATACAGCAACAGTTACTCCAGGAGAGGGCCCAGTATTTATGTAGTAGCAGGAGCAGAGGTGGGCAAAATTCACCCTCCCCTTCAGTAGTACCAGAAATACCTCCCTCCTTCCTCTCTCTCACACACTCACAGACACACATTCTATTCCAGAGGTGGGGAATGTTTGGCCCATGGATGAAATTTGGCTGACCAGCCCACCCTCCCTCCCTTGCAATTGCTGCTGTGATGGCCCACACCAGAATTCAGATTCCTCTGTTGAGGCACCAAGAGAGGAGTGATTTTTGCACCCCACCCCCCACCAGCTTAGCCAACCCCTTGGTACAACAACAATGAATGTCATTTTCACTGCTCCCCAACAACCCATTCTGCACATGGGTGCTTCTGTGCCCTCATGATTCCGCCATGAAAACTGCAGGAAAGATCTGCACGCTGGCATACCGCTCCAGATTTGTTCACTTTACTTCTGTTATTTTCCAGGTAAAGAGGGCTGCAACCTTCCTGCAAACACATCCCACCCACCACCCACCCCCTTGGAATCAAATAACATGGAAATGAGCTTTCAGTATGCTCTGTGTTCCATTAGTTTTCCGGAAGTGGCTCTTAGGTGATGTGAAAGCTCAAAAATATTGTGGAAATGAACAGAGAAGCATCAGGGAAATGGAATAAACTGCCAAGTGAATGCAGCCCAGGTGTGGAGCAGCAGGTAAGAGCAGGGCTCTGATACACCATCCATTCCCTCCCCCTCATTCTGCCTTTTCACTTTATTTCCTTTCCCCTCTCTTCACCCCTCTTTGTCCCCTCCCTAGTCTCCACATTTGGACTTAGAAGACAGTTTCCAATGGGACATACGTAAAAATATATAAAACTAATAGTTGTTCAGTGGATGCAGTGTGTGTGTGTGTGTGTGTGTGTGTGTGTGTGTGTGTCTAAGTATATTAAGAAGATTAACACTTTCCTTCCCAACTGCAACCCCCACCATAGCTGTCAACGTTTCCCTTTTTTTAAGGGAAATTCCCTTATTCCGAATAGGATTTTCCCTTAAAAAAGGGGGGGGGAGTTGACAGCTATGACCCCCACACTCACCCAAAATTGCTTCCAGATTATAATTAGGTTTAACAAACAACTTTCATTGACACCAATTTAAACTTAATGCACACTTGACCATTTTAAGCACAATATAACACTGATTAAGCAGCCATTAAACACTGAAACAGCAGCGCGAGAAAGGTTTTAAAAATGCAGCAACCAAAAAAAAAAAGTTAACTACAGCAATTAAAAGCAGTTCCAAAAGGGAGCAACCATTTATGCCAAAAAAAACCTTCCCCCAAAGAACGAGTTTAGAATACTATTAGAGTTAAGGTGATATGAGACATGCAGTCTCATACACAATGGGACAAACAGTCAAGACCAGGGGAGGAACATTGTTTGATTGTCTGAGGTGGTTGTGATGTCACGGAACATTCATAAACATCTGAAGTGCTCAGGAAAAGGCTTTTATTTAAACACACATATTTACAGAGTAATAGAGTTATAGAGCTGGAAGGACCCCGAGGGTCATATAATCCAACCCCCTGCAATGCAAGAATCTCAATTAGATCATATATGACAGATGGCCAGCCAACCTCTGCTTAAAAGCCTCCAAGGAAGGAGAGTCCATCACCTCTTGTGGGGGTCTGTACCAGACTCATTTTCCTAATTGCTGAGTGCATTTAATGTAACTATAAAGAGGAACAGTATTTCAACAAAAAAGGAGCTGTTATCCATATTTTAGTAAGAAACTACTTTCAAAACATTCCTCAAAGGATTACAACCAACAGAATAGTTGCCAAGAGGATACTATCCCAGATCAAAAATGAGACACTTGTTATCATGTACAATAAGAAATTCTTATATACATAAAGGGAGAGAATCTGTCTCTCTGATTTGCTTCTTGCAGGAACAGCTATTCTGATGAAAACTGGAGCCATAGAAAGATGTCTCTGCTACACTGTTGAATCTACTGAAAGAGATATGACCTTGAGGCAACTGCAATCAAACAACCTGTCAACTAATACTACGGCTGTCAGTGATATAATTACTTCTCTACATTGCAACATATCTAACAAACCAACACCTTATGCTCACTCATCACATGGGAAAAATTAGACCATGCCCAAATTCAACAGACAAGCTAGAATAAAAATCAATAATTTAAAATTAATTTCAGCCTGCCAATTTAAGAGCTGTGATCATATTACTGACTATAGCAACAATCCTATGCACATTAATTTATTTGGGCCTTACTTCTGAGTAAACAAACACCAGATTAGGATGCCTAGTATGTTTTGCATCACTGCTGAATTTTGTTCTCAGAAGAATCCCAAATGATTTTTCACATGCATAACCAGGCACGGTTTCCACTGGTGCCTTCCAGATGTTGTTGGATTGCCACCCTAAATCTGGAGGACACAATGCAGGAATATATAGAGGCCAAAGCACAGAAACACCCTGGTTGAAGGAGGACTTCAACCAAAACTCTTTCTGCCCCTACCATTGGTAACCAGGAGTCAGAGTCTTCTCCAGATCATAGAGCCACAGTCTGAACCAGAAGGATAAAGGCATGCTGCTACAGGATAAGCCTCTGGGGTCAGTGTCCCTCCAGCCCAAGAATGTGGCACTAATGGCCTCAGACTTGGATTACTCCATTAGAGACAAGCCACCAGGACCAGAGACCCCTACATTTCTGCCTTAGTAGGAGACTACAGGAGAGGGCTAGGCCCCTTTAATTAAAGGAGAACCTTCTAGTGCAAGTGGGGAAACAATTGGGGTGTGTTTTGCTGAAGCAATGTCAGAACTCTGTGCTCCTTGAATCTTGCATCTAGAATGCCCTGGCCCCTGGCTCTCTCCTCATCACAGAGCAAGTGGCCTACATTCAAGTATTATTGTCATAGAGAAGGGTAGGGAACATCAGTCCCAGGGGGTGTATGTAGACCTCTATCCATCCCTTAGGGCTCTTCCCCATGCCACCTCCCTCAATCTTCTCTGCTCTGTGCTCTACTTAAGTGAGAGCTTTTGCCTGGCTGGAATCTGTCACTGAACTTTTGTAATGCCTCCTGCTTGCTGGGATAAAGAGATGTGAGTGTGCAGAACCTCTGCCTTTTGCCTGGCTGTACAGAGGTAAGTGCCTACATTGCTCTGCCTACTTTTCCCTCTGGCCTCACCCACCTTAGGCAGGACCTCAGGTTTTTCCCACTCCTGTCATACACAACTGGTGGATTAAGGCAAGAATCTATTTCATAGAATATTAAGAGTTGAAGGGAGGCTTCTAGGCTGTCCAGATTAACCTCCTGGAGCAACTGCTAGAATTGTAGCTAAAGATGGATTTGTGATGGACCTTTAGCCATTTCATTAACTTTGTATTTCAGGTGTCACAAGACTCTTTGGAGGGTTTTTTGCCATAGCAGACCAGCAGGGAATTTCAGACCTCTGGAATCTCATTAACTTTGAAAGGGAACATCTAGGGAATGTAACTGATATCTTAATATCTGTTGATGGCTGAGATCTGCAGGTCCAGGACATCTTTTCAGCTGGAACTTGCTGGAACTCAATTCTGGCCCCTCTCAGGTGGGCACCATTATCATTCTAAAAGAACTGAGTTCCAGCACCTTTTTTTCTAGAAAAATAGCACCATGCAGGTCTATTGTGTGCTAAGAAATACATTACTTTTACAGAAGACAACTTGTGTAAAATAAACCAATTGCAGCAGAAAGGAAAATATCAGATGAAAACCTGAGTGAATGTCAGAATCAATTAAGGCCCTTTTGTACATCCCTTCTGTGAACCCCAAATGCTGATTCGCATCATGATCTTCAGAAGGAATAAGAAGTCCATCTTCTACAGCAAAAGATGAGCAGGTGTCACTGGATAAGGGATGCATTCACTTCTGCACTAGGTCCAGACAAGTCTTCATCAGCCTGGTTCCCTCCTGATATTTTGGACTACAATTCTCCTTATTAAGGGTCACTAATTAATGCTGACTTCTTTTTTCTTCACTGTTTCCTCAAAGCAAGAGCCTGTGTCCTTGCATGTCCTTAGGTGTTTACAGAAAGCTCAGGATGCTGAGTAGGAGAAGCTCATTTCACTCAGCATATGGCAAGGTTTATAGCACAAGGAAGCCTCTAATAAGCTTAAAGCAAATGAATGAATAGCACTTACTTATTCTATTGTTTCTACAGCACTAATGCTCATACAACAGCATAGGTGAGCTGGTGTGGAGGAAATGCATTTATATATTTAGTCATGTTCGTGTGTGTGTGTTTTACTCCATCTTCAATCAAGCAAACCTTCCTTCTCCCTTTCTCCTTGGAGGGGGTAAAATCTGTTCAACATCTCTGCCAAGCTGCTAGGCTTTCCATAATGAACATTTTATTGTTGCTTTAATTGAGTCACTGTTGTTTCTGCTTGGATTTTACAAATGGAATTTTATGGAACTAAATTGCATATATTTTAAATCACTTCTGCTTGTAAATTTTCTTGAACAGGGAGTCGATGGATCAAGGCAATCAATCAATCAGCACATGGTACTAGAATACCCTAATGGTATGCAAATTGTCAGTTCAGGAGAACTGGGAATCAAGTGGATTGGTGAGAATGAGTGACAAAAATACCCTTGAAGGGGAGTGGGAAATATGTGTCAACTTTCCCACACCCAACCAATGATATTTACAGCAGAGACGTAATCCTATCCACGGACCATATGCAACACCATTCAAGATGCTGAAATTCTTTTGCTACTCAGTGCAATACCAGAAGTCTAACAGGCAAGTCTGGCTTT